GGGTTTGAGGTCGAGGTGGACGATGGCCCGGCCGTGCATGAACTGCAGCCCCTCCAGGATCTGCCTCACGTACTGGGCACTGCTGGGCTCCGTGTGCTCGAAGTCGTCATCCACGATGCGCTCAAAGAGCTCCCCCCCTGCCACGCTGGGGACAACGAGGGGCTGGGACCCCACTGGGGGGGTCTGCCCTGCCCGAGGAGGGGAAGCCCCACCACAGAACCTGGACCTGATGCTCTGGTTGCATCCCACCACCCTTATCTCCGGGGTCTGCAGGTTCCCCATCCATCCCACAGCACAGGGACCCCTCCCCAGTGCCATGCTGGGCACGACAAGGTGCTGGGGACCCCACTGGGATCTACCAGCCCTGAGGAGGGGCAGTCCCACCGGGGAACCCAGACTCAGCACACTGGGAGCACCTCCCCAACCTTAACCCGGGGTCTGCAGGTTCCCCTTCCATCCTACACCCCCCCCCAGCACCCCGCGGCACAAGGACCCCTCCCCACCGCCAGTGCTCCCCCCGGCAGAGCCGGGCAGCGTCCCCACCGCCCCACACAGGACTCAGCCCCCCTCACTCACTACTCCATCACCATGACGAGCTCCGTGGGGCCCTGGAAGGCAGCGAGGCACTGCACCAGGCGGGGGTGCTGCAGCAGGTTCATCAGCTCCACCTCTGCCCGGGCCGCCGCCCTCTCCTTGCCCGTCCGTGTCCGGAAATACTTCCCAGCACGGATTTTGCCGGAGGCTTTTTCCCGCAGCCGGTACACCTTCCCGAACTTCCCCCTGGGACAGAGCGAGGGCGAGGGATGGAGGAGTCACCACCAGCGCCCTGCATCCCACCAGGGCTGTGGCTGTCCATGCCCAGGCCGTGGGAATGTGGGACCCCCCCACTTACTCTCCCAGCTTCTCCAGCTGCGTGTACACGTCCGAGACCTTGTCCTGGGTGTTGATGACCACATCGCGGTGTTCAAAGGTCTCCTCAGCTCCTGGGGGATGGAGCAGGGTGGGCCATGCAGGGCCCCCCGTACATTTCCCCCAGTGCTTATTTCTGTGCCCCCCCTGCTCCATCCAGGGCCGACCACCCTCCCCACGCAGTGCAGATGGGACATGGTGGGGACGTGGGGACGGGGGCTGCTGCTACAGGAGCTCCTGGAGCAGCCCAGCACCCTGAAGGCCAGGTTTGGGGTAAAAGGTGGTTTTAGGATCAAAAATCCAAGAGAAACAGCGCCAGGATGGGATGGAGGTTGGTGCTGATTTGAGGGAACAACAGAGAGTCACACCAGTGCTGGGTTCCTTTGTGCCTCCCCAGGGACAGAGGGCTCCACTGTACCTCCTGCCTGGGACATGGTGGTGTCACTGGCTCCTCAGGGGGTGCTGGCACAGTCAGGATGGTG